GGGATATATTACAATGACACCTGGAAGTGGGGGGGATATATTACAATGACACCTGGAAGTGGGGGGGATATATTACAATGACACCAGGAAGTGGGGGGATATATTACAATTGCACCTCGAAGTGCGGGGATATATTAGGCAGGAAGTGAACATTTTGTCCCTGAAGTTGATGTGTTGGAAGCAGAAACAATGGACAAGTATAAGGATTTGAGGGGCCAAAGTGTGTGACCAGACAACTGGATCAGAGCAACTACAACACTTTACCCCTTGTGGGATGTTCCCGCTCTGCAGTGGTCAGGACCGACCAAAAGTGGCCCAAGGAATGTTACATCTTACATCATGTGGATGGCCGGGTGCGCGTGTGTGTCACTTACCTGGGGAGAGATTGCACCAGGATGCACTATGGGAAGACAAACCGGCGGGGGCAGTGTAATGATTTGAGCAATGTTCTGATGGGAGACCTCGGGTCCTGCCATTCATGTGGATGTTACTTTAACACGTACCACCGACCTAAACATCGTTACTGACCGAGTACACCCCTTCATGGAAACGGTATTCCCTGATGGCAGGGACCGCTTTCAGCGGGATAATGCTCCCTGCCACACTGACACAATGGTTCAAGAATGATTTGAGGAACACAAGTCTGAGGTGATGACTTGTCCTCCAAATCTCAATCCAATCGATCTTCTGTGGGATGTGCTGGAAAAAGGTCAGACCCTTGGAGGCCTCACCTCACAACGTACAGGACTTAAAGGATCTTCTATTGACGGCTTGGTGCCAGATACCACAGCACACCTTCAGAGGTCTACTGGAGTCCACGCCTTGATGGGTCAGGAAAACGGGGACCTATGCAGTATCAGGTGGGTGGTCATTATGTTATGGCTGATCGGTGTGTATCTGTATCGATATCTGCACTTTCCCTAATCATCTTCCAGGACAGCAACCCAAGTAAGCTTGTTGTCCTGGAAGATTCCTAGAAATATCGTTACCGGTAAGTCTAACGGAACATTTTTTTTCTTTTATGAGTTACTGCCGTTGTAATGATTTATTCCTCTTCAGTAAAAGCCTGTTTATGATCTACTGCATGGAAATCCTGACCTTGGTGCAGTGTCAGGGTTGGGCCCTTTTTATGACGTTTCCACTTTATGATCCATGTCAGGTCAGGGTTACAGCTGCCTATACACTGCAGTGTGGACCTTTATCAGGTTTCGATCAGACTGTACTTTTCTCTTTCACACCACAATGTGTTGAGACTACATTGCTCTAAAGATAGCAGACAACCATGTCCAAACTACGCATGCATCTCAAAGGTCATTGCAATGAACGATCGGCTGTGGTCAAATACGAACCCCCATGTGGGAGTCATGCCTGTGGCTGTCAGCCTCATGGGGCTTGTAGTTCCACAACAGCTGGAGTGCTCTGGCTGCCAACCTATGGGATAGACCCTGCAGCGGAGGGGTTCCCCCTCTGTATGATATGGAATAAGGCAAGTGTTACTACGTAGCAGCCTTAACCGCGTAAAGGGAGTAAAAACAGCGCACCGTGGTCATAGTTTAGCGGGCCATTAAACTGGAACTTTACTTTATAGTGCTTTGGTGAGAATATTCAGCATTCATTTTACATCAGTTTTTTGCAACTGGGATCGCCGGCAGACCATGCAACCACACCCATCACCGCCACCCCCCCCCCTGCCCAATATTGAACCATAATAATCAGAATCAGTCACATTTAGGCAAGCAAGGTAGGCAAACCATGTCCTCCATCTGTGCTGAATCTGCAAATCTCAATATACATCAGACTCTGGGAGCCATTCCTGTGTCAGTCAGTCCTGCAATGCATCATGGGGTTGATGGCTATTAGTCCTGCAATGCATCACAGGGTTGGTGGCGATCAGTCCTGCAATGCATCACGGGGTTGGTGGCGATCAGTCCTGCAATGCATCACAGGGTTGGTGGCGATCAGTCCTGCAATGCATCACAGGGTTGGTGGTGATCAGTCCTGCAATGCATCACGGGGTTGGTGGCGATCAGTCCTGCAATGCATCACAGGGTTGGTGGCCATCAGTCCTGCAATGCATCACGGGGTTGGCGGCGATCAGTCCTGCAATGCATCACGGGGTTGGCGGCCATCAGTCCTGCAATGCATCACGGGGTTGGTGGCTATCAGTCCTGCAATGCATCACGGGGTTGGCGGCCATCAGTCCTGCAATGCATCACGGGGTTGGTGGCTATCAGTCCTGCAATGCATGATGCTGTTGGTGGCTATCAGTCCTGCAATGCATGATGGGGTTGGTGGCTATCAGTCCTGCAATGCATCACGGGGTTGGTGACTATCAGTCCTGCAATGCATGATGCTGTTGGTGGCTATCAGTCCTGCAATGCATGATGGGGTTGGTGGCTATCAGTCCTGCAATGCATGATGGGGTTGGTGGCTATCAGTCTTGCAATGCATCACGGGGTTGGTGGCTATCAGTCCTGCAATGCATCACGGGGTTGGTGGCTGTCAGTCCTGCAATGCATGATGCGGTTGGTGGCCATCAGTCTTGCAATGCCTCATGGGATTTGTTATCAGTCCGAGCCTTGCAATGCCTCATGGAACCTGTAGTTGCACCACAGCTGGGAGGTCCAGAGCTTGCCTACCCCATATATAGAACATAAATAACAGAGAAAAGTGGAATTTTCCTTCCGAGAGAAAACAAAAAGCCTCTACAAGAGTTACAAGTCATAGAAGATATTTATTTACCATTTCATGAACATAAAATGAATCCATTGCTCACTGATTGACAACGATAGGTCGCTTCCCAACAGCATTCCCCGAGGACAGGAACAGGGCTAGCGTACCAACTTCCTGCAAGCACCCGAGGGAGCCAGATGGAAAATTCCTGGGAAGGCAGCCAATGGATTTGCCAGGAAACCCGCAACATCACAGAGGCCTTGGGCTGCATTCCCGGGAAAATCGCCCCAAACCGCCAAACACATCCCTCCCTTGCAGGCCGGGTCTCTTGCCGTTGTAGTGTTTGGATGGTTGGGATGGAAGTTCCAGGTAAACAACATCTGCTGAGCCCTCCCAGACACCTATTCCTGTCCCGGGGAAGTGCGATTGTGCTCGCCGGTAATAATAATCAGATGGTAACAAAGCTACATTTTCATACATATTGCTTAGAAAACCTCTACGCAAGCCCAGCTCTGGTCTTGAGACACATCTACGGCTAATGACCACCATTTTTTTTTCTCTACAAGGCATGATGGTCAAAATCCTTAAATTTCCACATTCCACGGGTCCCATCGAGCAAAAAATTACCCGATTTTCTTCAACTGAACCGTGTATTACAGCAATATATATATATATATATAGATCTGAAAACAAACACAAAATGGGCAGAACTAAACCCGCTCTTCAACAGAAAACACTTGCAGTGCGCCATTGGTGCTTTAAGGACCTGTACACGTTGCCAGGTGCCATTTTCAAACCAGCATCATCATTTTGGGATGGGGAAACATCTGCATATGCAAACATGTGACCCCCCTTTACACCAACCAGAATAGAGCGCGTTGCCCACAGCACGCAATCACATTCATATTTCAGAAAAACCGAAACGGATTGCTTGCTGGAGAGGAGGAGCAACTTGGCCAGTTCTCCTTCCAGACATTTTCAATCATAAAGTAGAACTGAAGCTAAAAAAAACTTTTAGTTTTGGATAGAGTACGGTCACCATTTTTTCTGGAGATTTCCCTTCACCTCCTGTCTGATCCCCACAACAGGAAGTAAGAGGGAAGTCCCTGGTGGTCAGCAAGGTCACCAGAACTAATGCCCCTATTGGACAATTTCCAATCTCTTCCTGCTCTGGTGACTACTTTCACTTATAACGCTCACCAGGACACAGAGAGGGTGAATCTCCCCAACGGGGACACAGAGGGGTTCTTAATCCCTTTCCGATCTATCCAAAATAAAAAAGTTTTGGCTTCAGTTGCACTTTAATGGATTCAGTTTGCAGGATAAAATGGCGACCTGCAACGCATATAAGCGCCTCATTGCTTTAAAAGGAACCTGTCCCAAAGCATGTTGCTTGTGTTAAAAGCCTCATGTGGACGCCGCCAGTGTTGCCTGCACCGTAATATCAATTCACCGAAGCAACACCCGACGTGAAGGACATCGCTTCTCTGGAGCTAGAATCTGGCGCGGGTCGCTTCCATCAAGGGGCTTTTCACACAGGCATCATACCAATTCCCTTTAAAGCATAGATACCCGTTCTATGTCAGCAACGCATGTCATTTAATTATTTTTTAATTATTATTTTCTTCTGATCCCCTTAACAAAAACACATATCACAAAATAGTATTTGGTTTAATGATCTCTTCAAAGAAGCAAAAACAAAAAGTGCAAATGACATGGAACGCATTTGTGGTAAACTTCAAGGCCTATCGGAGGAACATATCAATTCGACTCACACTGGAATGGGCCCCTTAGCCCGCCGCGCATCGTCTGGCGTTTGCGGATCTGCGTGTGATTCAAAAAGGCACATATGTTCATGAAGTTACACATCATGTTCCACTGCTGTTGTAACCGGGACCCCCGGGGAAGGGGGGGCCCAATAAATACAAGTATCAGATTGCAATGCTACACCAAGCAATGGTATCCAATACACATCGTATTAGCTTTCCGTATGCAATCTTGGATAATCTGGCGTATACCGTTGTCAGTTCAGGCAAACATTATGTAACAGAGGGCCAAGCTTCATATAAGAGTCCATTTGATTTCCACGGCTGGTGGCTGCAACACAACAAAACTCAAGAGGGGGTTAAAAGGGGGAAGGGGTAAAAAAAAGTAAAGGGGGGGATGAAAAAAAAAAAGGTTTATTGAAAAAAAATATACACACAGGTGTAACAGAGGTATTTGAATCATCAAATATGGAATGTTTTAGAAATATTTAAAATAAATAAGTATAACAACAATATTAACCGGTGCTCTGTCCAGCACAGCCAAGTAAATGCCCTCTTTCGTTTGTTTTTGGACAAGTCTTCCCACGGGTCACACCCACGGAACCCTGTCTCGGTTTCGACCACCACATAGTGGCCGTCGGTTTGGAATAAACGCAGTCCGTTATAGTGCTTCGTACGAAACGTAATTCCTGTGCTGAGTTCGTTTTTTATTCCCCATTTTCATCTCTTATTTCTTTAATAATTGCTATTAAATTTTGGAGTCCGAAAATGTAGCCCGTGTCCTGGCCCTCGTGGACCACGCTGTCTTCCCTGTAAAACTTGCACGTGGTGTGTGCGAAGTCTATCATCCGCACGTCCGCAGTGCTGGCGCCGTGTTTATTACTAGAAGGCTGGTAGGCGTAGGCCCCTGCCGATTCGTCCGAAGATTCCTCAGACAGGTCCTCCAGGTCTTCGGGGTCCGAGTCCATGGGGACTTCCTGGAACTCCTTCCCGTCGTAGATGATGAGCAGAGAGCTGGAATAGAACCGGTAAGACTCCTGTTTTTCTAAAACCATTTTGAGTTCGGTCAGTTTTTTGAGGACAGGGTCGATCAGTTCCCGGCGTAGGGTTTTGCCGTTGTGAAAGAACTGGTAAAGTGCTTCTTTAAAACCCTGAACCGAAAGCTTCCTGCCGTGGTATTTGTTCATGAACATTAGTTGCCCCGTGCCAGCTTGGTAGACCTGAAAGGAAAGGGGGAATAGAGGGTTATTCGGTCAGCTATTTGCAGTATTCAAAGTTTAGCAAATCATGACAAGGCGACTTCAAAAATATTAGGGTGTCCTGACCCAGAACAACTAATCATATACTTGTAAAGAATTAAAACGACATCTGAAATGTGACAGCAAATCATGTCTGGCAGCACTGCAACAGAAACCCAAAGAGGTGTGCTGGCCACAAAGCTAAACAACCGATTGCCAACATCTGTATTCATTCCTTTCTGCTGAGGTTAATGAAACCCGACATACTGGTTCCTGATCGTATATCAAAACCAAATCACTAAAACCGTGTAAATGACATTTCAAAATATCACTTTCAATGCTTTGTCTGCAGATTTCATTAAAATAACACCTGATCCTGCCATGAAGGTCCTTGTTTAGACAATTCACGTCACAGGGTGGCAACCAGTCGCCTGCTGTCAAAGGGTGGCAACCAGGCGCCTGCTGTCAAAGGGTGGCAACCAGGCGCCTGCTGTCAAAGGGTGGCAACCAGGCGCCTGCTGTCAAAGGGTGGCAACCAGGCGCCTGCTGTCAAAGGGTGGCAACTCTTGTTAATGTGCCATGGAAGGGGACTACAGTGGGCCATGCCAACACACATTGAGCAAGCATGGTACTTTATCACTATCAGGAAGCTGCTTCAGAGCAATGATGTGCAGTTGGCGCTGAAGTGCATTTAGACAGGAAGTAGCTTAAAAAAAAAAAAGGCTAGAAGGGATCAACAGCAATGAAATGCAACAGAGGGTTAAAAAAAATGAAAACAGTACGACAATTAATTCTTCTTAACCATGAAGTTTGGGTAATCCTCTACTGTATACAGAATATGTCTAAATAAAAAGATGACAGCTGCCACCGCTTACATTTAATTGTACAAGTTCTGGGGTTGTCACCCTCCTGGCAATCATTGAAAGGTATTAGGCTTGTGACAGCAACAACCACAGACGAGGAGATTGTTTAGTGAGAGGCAGATAATAAGCTGGAGGAGCCAGGACCCCCCGGCCCGATTTAACACACGGGAACATTCTGTATACGGCTAATGGCTTCCCAGACTGTTATATTAAATAACAAGGCCAGCCGGAGTTTACACCATGAGAGTCTGGTATCCTCCGGGCTGTCACCCTCTGTGCACAATGTCCAAACACAGCCAGTCATTCAGCTGCAATGTCCTCCCCCAGATGAGAAGGGTTATAATCAATCCTTTCATGTTGCAGGATCAAATTATTCTCCTCTTAATGAGACATAAAACAGGGCGCCTACTTCGGCTTCCCATAATGGACTGGCTTAAAGGCAACAATTTCATGTATAACCAGCGATCAATCCCTACTAGAGTTTAAGGCGGCCGACATTATTAAAGTAATAAAGAAAATACAATTCCCACGCTGTCAGTTTAATGACACTAATCATTATTTGTATCTAAACTGGTTACAAGGCACCTCGAGTGTCATTCCAGAGATGCGGCTTTCCTCACTTATTGCCTATGGGGCTGCCGTGTCTGCAACAGACATACACACAGGGAACAATGTTATAGCTGAGCACCTCTGGGAAAGGAAAGGAAAAATGCTGTTAGGGCTTGTTCACACCAAATGCAGACCAGATCTGCATGAGTTTCTGCACACACAGTGCAGTGAGTTGTGCCGCGTTTTTGGTTAACAAAAATGCGTTTTTTTAAACGTTTGAAATGGGCTTTCAGTGCTTTCCAGGGCGTTTGCATGCGTTTTTGATGCGTTTGCATGCGTTCCAGAGCAGGTAAAATAGGGCTTGCTGCAGTTTTTAAAAAATGCTCTGGAACTGAACGCTGCGGTGTGAACTAGAGCCCAAAATACCATTGGACTACATTGGACGCAGTTTTGATCCGGTCTGTAACAGATCTGCTCCTGGAACGCGCTTGGTGTGAATAAAAGTGCATGTATTTGGAGTCTGTGGGAATAGGAGTTTTGTTATTTTAGGAAGCTTGATTGAGCTTTCATTTCAAATGATCCATGTCTGAGAAGGTGTAAGCAGAGATCACTCGGTGTTTGTATTACTGAGCCATCCTTGAGGGTGGCATATACTGTATACATGTATGTATGTGGTACCTTGGTTCACAAACTTAATTCCTTCCTTGATTCTGGTCGCGAACCGAATTGGTCGCAAACTGAAATCAAATTTCCCCATAAGGTTCAATGTAATACATAATACTGTACAGTACTGTATGTGCTAAGCAGCACACAAAAAAAGCTTTACAGCAAGTGTGCACAGGTCTGTCTGCGACCACGTGTCAGAGCGGGGAAGATGGCTGCCGTCGTGTTCGTCACCCGATGTGGAGTTCGTGAACGGAAGCAAAATTTTGCCGGACTTTCTGTTCGCGAACTGATGTATCACTGTATACAGTAGGTACTTTAGCACAGGGATCAGCAACTTGCTTACATACAACAAAAGCCAATGTTCCAACTTCTTTCGTGTAATACAAAGTCAGGGCATATGAAAATTGCCCAAAATATAATCATGTCATGAATTAGGGCCTGTTCACATGAGTTTCAGGTCCTGATCAGGTGCGGATCAGCAGACGCGATGCTATGTGTTTTTTTGCAGCGTTTTTGATGCGTTCCAGTAAAAAAAAACACAAATATTTTTTTTTTTGCTGGAGTGGGGCTGTCAGTATGTTAGATGCAGTGCAGTGCGTTTTTGACGCATTTTGCGTTTCTGGACCGTTTCCTGGCCGTATAAAATGTGACATGCAGTATTCTTCTGTTGTAACCTGAACGGACTGCGCACGTGAGAACTGTAGCCCATAAAACACATAGGGATACATTTTTAGTGCAGGAGCGTACGGATCAGGTCAGCACAGAAAACGGACGTCGTGTGAACAGGCCCTTAAGGATTGGGCAAATCCCAGCATGCTCAGCCAACTAAGTAGTCAGCGTGGAGGGCTTAGAACAGGGACGGGCAACTCCTGCCCTCCAGCTGGTGTGGAACTACAAGTCTCATGAGGCATTGCAAGACTGACACTTACAGGCATTACGCCCAGAGGCATGTTGGGATATGTACTTAAAGCACAGTTGGAGTGCCTAAGCTGCTCACCGCTGGCTTAGAAGCTAAATCATAAGCACTGGTAGACCCCCAACTAGCAATATGGTAGAACATGGCAACTCCAGGGACCGTCTTCATTTGAACATATTAACAAGCTTTTTTTGTTCACTCACCTGCATCCCGCAAACACGGACCCCAATTATTGCAGACGTGCTTTGCTGACACTTCTGGATCTGGTTAGCTTTCTTCTCCTCCGATGCGTCGTCTCCATGCTGCCGTGTGCCCATCTTCAGGTCGAGGACGCATGGCACTTGATACCGACACGTCAGGTTTTCCAATAGGATAAATTCTGACTAGTTAAGGAACACACGCGACTTCATACTTCATAAATCACAACTACTTTAGGGCTTGGAGCAAAACCCAAAATTCTGAGTCTGAAGGAAGCGATTTTACTACAATGGAATGAATTCTTCCATTGTAGAAGTTCTGCTGGAGCAGAGGCAGCCTGAGTTAGATTTTTATAGATCGACATGTTCTAGATAAGCTATAATTTAACGCACATTTGTAGGGTACCGATTCCTTCTGCTAAGAAGCAAATCGAGGAAGAAATGTTCAAAAGAAACCCTTTTATGTGGCCATAATGCAGATGAACGATATTCCCGAGTGTGTATACAAGGGCGCATTGTTCTGAAGCTGGAAATAAATCTGGCTATTATAAGAACAGTAAACAACAAAGTCTTTCATTCTGCAGAGATGCAACACTTTCAAAAAGGGATTAGCAACTTCCACTCTATGGATTTTATGCCAGAAGGTCTATTGGCAACTGCTTCCTGCTGCAGCTATGTGTCTGTCCAGACAGGACTCAAACCCGGGTCACCTGTCAATGGCATTACAGAAGCTCCAACCTCAAAGTTACAAAAAGACACAGACATCTTAGTACAGGATGAGAGCATTTGAAGTGACACAAGGCATTTAGAATTAATCAGCTTTCACTTCCCAGTACAAGTCTAATCACCAGACTGCTTTGGATAAGATAAAATGGGGATTAAACCAACTACAGAGTCACCTTTGCTGAAGGGTGCAAACTCTGCTACGTGCAAGACATGAAGCCAATATAGTGCAAAAGGCGGGGTGGGCTGGATGACGCACCAGGGGTGGAACTGCTTACAGGAACTATAACAAAAGCAAACAATACAGACTTTTATACTGCTAGGTCAGTTCTCATGTATCCAGGACATGGTATAGCTAGTAGTAGTTAGTCACATTCATGTGGACCCGTTCTGTAATGTTGAAGAGGTTTCATAGCTTATCCAAGCCACTTCTTCAGCTCTAATGAGTGGAAGGTACAAGCTCCCGAGATATGTTCCAACTGAACTGTTAGAGCTATGAAACCTCTTCAACATTACAGAACGGGTCCACATGAATGTGACCAACTACTCCTAGCTGTTAGACTCAAAGATCTCCGAACACTTAAAATTAAAAAAAATATTATATAAATAGTAAGAACTTTTAGGGTTTCCTTGTCATGTGATCACTGTGATTGGCTGTCAAAGTGATTATATGATTGGGAGCTTGTCTTAACTGCTCCCAATCGCTGCTATTTGACCCGGGAACTGTTGGTGAGAGCGCTGTGACACTGCTAGGGGTGTACGATCCAGGACAAGTCAGCAGCAGCCACATACGTGTGTGTGTATGTATCATAAAGCCCCCCTCCATTCTGCCACGTGTATGTGGGTCACCATGGCATAAGCCCCCCCCCCTAAATTCTGCCACATATATGTGTATGGCTGGTTGAAAGTTATTACATTAATTTTCTGTTGATTGACTTATTATTACCTTTGCTGGAAGTCTGTTCCCAGCATGCACTGCTCTTCTAGTAAAATAATTCGATTAGCTGCTGACAGCTTTAAAAACACCGGGTATATTTACAAAAATATACTGATAAACTAAAGCCAGTCAAGAGACAGGCCACGAAGAGGTGAAAGGTCTGAGGGATAAAACACGTGACAAAAGACAGCAGGACCTCTAAGTGTAGGTAAACCTAAAATCGACATATTTCAGTTTTCTCAAGCAAATAGATTTTTGGAGAATCTTCCAGTAACAATATTCGATGACAACACTAAGCCGCTGCCTCACAACCAGCAGCAACATGGTCAGCCTGCCCTGAACGCTCTTTCAGTTGGCTGTCAGGCTGCCTATCTGACAATCCTCAAAGGCAGCCCGACAAAAAAAACACAAGCAGTGCACATGGCAGGCTGACAACTGTGAGGCAACGGCTGAGTGCTGTCAGCATGCAAAAGAAGTGTTGTTAATGGCAGCATCTCCAAGTAAGAAACTTGTAACAGACTTCCAAAAACTGTATTAGCTTTAAAAATGGTATACAGTGAGACATGATGACAAACACACTGAAAATACATTTTGGGTTAACACATTAAGGGGGGTGAATGAAGATCAGGATGGCAGCATTCTTTAAGAACGTTGGAACATGATCTCAACTCAAGCAAGACAAAAGGTCGAGATACTATTTGAAACTGGTGCAGTGGGTGCAGCTGTCGGCCGCCATTAAGCCAGGATCCCTCCATCAGCTGATTGAAGGAGCCGGTTGGAAAAGCTTTGAACGAACATAGCCGTCAGCCAATGAGCTGCTGCTCAGTACGGGTATTCTGACAGCAGCTGGCGGCCGCCATCATAATACAGTTAAGACAGTGGGAGATTCCTCGATCAACGCTTGTAAGCATTGGAGGAATCGGTTATATTTTCTTTGCTCAGCCCGCAGGTTGAATGAAGAAAATATTACAGTGTATGGCCAGCTTAAGACTAGTTGAAAATGAGTCAGAAATTGGTTCACACGCTGGAAACTTTGGTAGGAAAGGATACTGTATTGGTTCCTGTGTTTAGCGTTTTCCTTCATGCGTTGGAGCTGTTGCTGGTGGCATTTCATACTCCAGGGATTGTGCTTAAATTGCGAACCGACATTCCCTTTCTTCTCCACACTATAATACAAGACTTCAGATTTCTTCAACCATTCAAACTCTTCTTCTAGCATGTGGCTGGAAAAAAAGAAAAAGAAAATGAATGGAACATAGACAAAACTTCTCCCGCTATCAGCTTGACTCAAAGAAGTAGATAACGTGCCCTGCTCAATGGATTTCATGCAGGACAATGTAAGTGATGTGCAAAATACAAACACATTTGATGTTCTTGGCTAAGGGAAGAAAGAAAGATTATCACTTCAGTCGTATCTTAGCTACAAGTCTCTAGGAGATGTTGGAAGAACGTCAGAAGACAGTGCACAGTTCTAAGAACTGTGGATAAACACTAACTGGGGTGCCGGACTGTGAAACCATCTCAGCATTTACAGAATATCAACTAGACATGTCATGGGTATAAAAGGGAATGAGATCCGGGACTATAGGGAAAAATCATCCGCTGTAAGAAGTGACAGAATTCTTAAAATGGATATCCCGGATCCCTGGAAATTTCAGAAGAAATCTGCAAAGTGATTCAGACTGTCAAAATCTTAGCAAAGATATCCACAGCATGGCAACCCCAAAGCAAATATCTGACATGACTAGCAACTGAAATATAACATTCCAAAAGGATACATAAAAGATAGAAATCATAGAGCTCCTCATATATTGAATTGTCCAGTGGATGCAAGTCTGGTGATCATTAGAACTAGACATAGAGATCCAACTTCCTAACAATAATACACCAGGGAAAACAATTCTAGCCCTCCTATAGGTGACCACAACATTCATTTACTGGTTATAGTTAGAGATATAACTGGCTTGACAAAACTCTGCCCCTAACAACCTGTGGACCAGTATAAACTAGATTGTTTTATACAGCCAGGCAGAGTGCAATATCCAAAGTGCGTTAATCCACAGCAAGCAATCATTCTGCTTTTATGGATCTAGCTCTTAAACTAAAATGTAATTGGCTGCTAATGAGCGCTGCATCATACCACTGGAAATAGTCTCGTCTGTTCAGAGAGAACATTCCACTTGGGTGCATATTAGCAGTGGGCCAGAAGCAAGAAATTAGCAGTGCCTCTCTGCCCACATAATACACAGCTACCACCTCATGTATCACGTGCCCCTCCCTTTTAGACTGTAAGCCCTCAGGGTCAGGGCCCTCCTTACCATCTTGTCTTGAATTGTATTGTAATGTCTTCCTTATATTGTAAAGCGCTGCGCAATATGTTGGCGCTATATAAATCATATATAATAATGCCAATTAGATAATGCAAACACATATCTGACTGCAGAAGTTCAGTACGATTTAACACTCAGACCACCTAAAAGGGATTTTTCACTTCTTGGTTGATGATGACATTGAACCACCTGACAATTTTTACAACTCTTCTTGACTCAGAATTTATATAGCGCTAACAGTCTGCACAGCTCCTTACAACATTAAGGAATACATTACAATTACATTACAAGAGAAGGTGGTTACGAGGGCCCTGCCCATGAGAGCTTGTATAGGACTCTGACTCTTCCCTGTGAATTCTGATTTATTTTATATTATTGAGAATTTAACAGGAGGAGCTGAAACACACAAAAGGTTGGTGAAGATACCCGAAACTCTCAGATGGACAGGAAGAAATGTAAATTATGGCAGAGAAATCTAAGTAATGGAATACCCAAGCCATAAAAAGGCCAGGGACTGACGGAGCATCACGGGAGACACTTAAAGTTAAAATACCAATTTTGGGTGGTGCGGCCTATTAAAACAGCTATATATAAATGTTCGTGGACTGCTTCCACCGGCTCACCTCTTGATTTTCTCCTCCTTCCGATGCTGTCGAACTCTTTCCTTGGTGAGATTGTCGTTCTCCAGCATGAGGGCCTTCTTGTTAGTCCACCTGAGCACTTTACTTTTTGGCTCGCTGCAGTCTGAATAGTCGACGTTTTCTAGGTTGTCTTGGTCCCGGTTTAAGGGATAAGCTATTAGGCATAAATTGCCATCTTCGTTCTCCTCGAAGCTGACCGACACTACACCTGCAGAGGGCACAGAGGAATGGCACGTTTAGAGAACATAAAGTGGAAGGTGAAGTAAAACATGATGAAAGGTTCACATTAACAGCTGTTGTTGGTGTCTTACCCAATCCTTAGCATTTATTCTGTCACAGGCCCCAACCTGATCTGCAAACCTAGCAGATATCAAAAAGCAGCTAAACATAGAAACACCCGACACAGAAGACACAGCATATATCAAGGCACAATTGCTGTAGGCAAGCGGTTCTTATAAAAAAAACCCTTGACGAAGCACAACACTGACAAAATAATAACAGGAGACAATTTCCATTTATGATAATATTTATTGAAGTAAAATAAATATTCTTTTATTGGTAGCATGTCAAATAAGATGTAAAACAACTTTATTTACATCTTGCACTGAAACACCCACATGTGTTTCTTATGCATTGCAGCAAAGCGAGAATAATAATAAAAAAAAAGAAGGGCATTAAATGTCACAAAACTATGAAGGGATCAAAGCATTCGATTAGATGTGCAAGCAGAGCAAAATAAAAACAGGGGGATAAAAAAAAAAAAAGACAAACAATACAGCAAAAACTACCTAATGCATCTGTTTAGAGTCACTGCAACTTAGAAACCTTTCTTTGTGAAAACTGTTCAGCGCCTTTATTTGTAGTAGTATTAAACTGGGACGCAAACACACACGGCAAAATTAATTTTATTTGTGGTGAACTCTTTAAAAATAAGCATCTCTTACTTTGCTTAGTACAGTCTTTAGAGCACTGCATTTTTTATTTTTTGGAGCTTTAGCAGTTCAGCTGTTTTCCAGGAGTGCCATAAAAGTCCTCAAAAGTCCTTAACTGTCCCTTTTTTTTTTTTTTTTTTGGTCCTAGTGTCTGCATCTCACTTGGTGTCGCTGACTTCCCTCAGGGCGGGCGGACCTGGGACTAACAAGAGGCTCGGGACAGCAGCGGTCTGCTTTCAAGCACAAATGGAAGGGCTAAGGTTAAAAAATAAGCGAGCAAGCAAACAGCTTTATCTCGGAGAAAAAAAAGTCAGGACGGCACGGAGCTGTTTGCCCACCCTCCACCATACCATACACTAGAACACTAGAACACACCAGAAAATAAATCAATAATTAAATAAAAGCAAAATAAAAGAATAAAAACACAGCTTGTGACATTATACGGAAACATTTTGAAGTTATGGCTGCTTACCCGTGTATTCGTTAGGCAGAACAATTGCAATGAATAGTTCAGTAACTCAATAACAGTACCACCTGTTTTACCTGTTCATGTGCCATGCTCAATATACGGCAGCATTGTGTGAAGAATACATTTTTTTTAAAATGGCCGTATCCCAAATCTGTGAATCACCTGTAATTATTTTTTATTACCCAGTAACAAAGAATACTGACTCTGGAACGCAAAGCCCTTGCAGCGGGATCTCCACTTGCTTACTTCAGGTGACTCACTCCGACACTTTACTGCAATCCTTTAATCCAAAAATACATTTTCATTTCCTCTGAAAGGGAAAGTGTGTAGAAGGTACAGGAAACACTCGGCCTGTTTAGCTTACTTTTCACCATAACAGTTTAACCAAAACTTAAATAAATTAACAAAAGTGGATTTAGGGAGAAAGACAGAAAGGGGAGAAAAATAGCAAAGTGAACGGGACCAGGTTGTTTTAAAACGCTGGTCTCCTGAGGTTTCACTTACCTACCCCGGAGTCTAAGGGAGACACAGGGCCGCAAACACAGCTGTCTAAACTCTAAAGCTTTAAGCCAGCCAAGAGAACCAATGGGTTATCTCCAACACACGCAGCACAGCCTGCCCCTGACAACATCAAAATATATGAAAAAAAAAAGAAAAAAAAATCATTCCCAAAAACTGCTTCCGTCTAAGAAAGAGCTTCAGGGAGAACAGGTCATGGCAATATTTATACTAGAACATTGAAAGCGATGCACCGCTGCAAAGAAGTGAGGACCTACCTTTGTACTGTGGTGTGAATTTTCTGATTTCGGCAGGGAGTGTTTCATAGAACAGGTGCTCCCTTTGAATGAGGGGCTTACAGATGGTCTTGTCGTTGAAGCGAAGGACACAAGAGTGCCCTCCGACCTGGTGTAAAAAAGGCTCGAGCAGGACTCCCTTTCCGTAGTGCTCCGCTTCCATGGCTCCGAATGCTGGGCTCATCGTTACTGCACATTAGAGAGGGCGAGCAGCACAAAAGCTTCTCCGATCTGTCCTTTTAACGTGGCTTACCCGTCTTGTAAATGTTTTCTGTTGGAACAAATGCAACAAAAAGGTTCCTTCTTTTAGTCAAGTCTGTGCAAGTAAATAAATCCCTCGCTGTCGTTATTTCCTAAGGCGCAATCCGCGGCATGTCTCTTCTCTGCCGGGCACAATCCTCAACTGAGCTAGCAGGCTTTCAGCACCGAGACAAATAGAGTGATGTCACACAGCAGAAGAAAAACAATCTTGCTGGCTCCTCCTGCGTGACACCCAGCCAATCGAATTTGCATCTTGGGCAGGCCCGGGGGAGGAGTCCCCAAGGCAAAACGGAGAGACAAAAGAAGGTGGAGAAAGAAACATTGCTGTTCTCAGCTGTTTTTGTCAAACAGCAAATGTTGATGTGATACAGCGGCCAAAAAAAGCTTAACACTTGACGGTATTCTGTGATAGGAGACCGATGCCTGCACTACAGTCAGTCTGGGAGTAACATATACAACAGTAGCCAAGATATAAAAATGACAACACTGTTTCTTTCTTCCCCTTGAAAAGAATTATGGAAAGCTGGAGGATCGGCTAATGTTTAACAGCAGCCGGTCCACAAACAACTTATATCAATGCAACAAACTAAATCATTTACAAACACCCCAGTATATAAAAGAAGTCAAAGGTTGTTAAAGAAATGCAATTTATAAACAGATAATGTTAATATCTAAACAAGGTGATTGCATCTAAAAACACACACAAAGGGATTTGTAAAACAACATTCAATTGAAAACAGCAAATACATTGCAGAGAACATTATCCATGAGCTAGGCATACACAAGCTGAAAAAGAGAAATTACGTGATCCCAACCCAGACTACACAGTATGGAGGGAGAAATCTCCCCTGCATGCTCCTGTATACAGACAGCCAAAACCCATGCCGGTCTGAGTACCCGAATAATTTACCCCCCGGCTCCTCTGATTGTCCGAGTGTCTTTAGTGGAGCCGGGTGGTGTCGATAGGGCTAGGATTGTAGCCAATTTAACAGAAATGAGCTTAAATTCAAGGCATGTTTATTTTATCTGGAACGCATGACATGACTCCCATGCTCTCCTCCGGGACTTCTCTAGAGTCTGTCCTATCCTCTGGAACTCCTTACCCAAACTTGTCAAGACTATCTCCCACTCTGTCTGCCTTTACGTGATCCCTTGAGACATCTCTTCAGGGAAGCCTATCCCTCCTCAACCTAACCACTACGTTCTCAAACAATTCATGCCCACACAGCTACCTCCTCATGTATCACTTGCCCGTCCCATTTAGATTGCAAGCCCTCAGGGCCAGGGCCCTCCTTACCATCTTGTCTTGAATTGTCATGTCTTCCTTATATTGTAAAGCGCTGCGCAAACTGTCGGCGCTATATAAATCCTGCATCATAATAATATTAGGAATGTGTCAGATTTTCTGATAAATCGTTGCATTGGAAGTAAATGCTAGCGTGCACATTCGTAACCGCTGCAATAGAAGAATGCTATTTTTAAATCTTAATGCCGCATTGAGCTCTGGAATTACTTGTGAAAAAAATATATATAATGCAAAGGAAGAAAAGTCTGTATAATGTTATTTTCCAAATACAAGTCATCAGCTTTTCCTGCACGGCTTACAACACGCTTCACCAGCAGAGGGCGCTGCGGCTATGTTGTCAGCCCAGCTGCTCCCCTAACCCCTCCGTCACTGATCTAGTTATTTTCATTTGTTTAATCCTCAAAATGACAACACAGTTTCTTTTTCCCTTTTAAAAGAATTATGGAAAGCTGGAGGATCAGCCATATTTAAAAGGAGATTGCCCTAGATGTATGTCATTCTAAGAAGAACATGGGCATGGAAAGGTTATGGAATATGTGGAGCAAATGCCTGAACAGGGGTCACTGGTGGGTAGCGACTCAATGACCAAGGACAAGTGTGGGTCTTGAGGTTACACAGGTTGAGAACCAGTGATCTAAAAGGGCTGAATGCCACAATATTTAGTTAGCAGTGTTTACAATTCACGTCATCAAGGAGCCGATCTAATCAGAGAAGCTGAGAAAAGACGCAGCAATTCGTTTCTTCTGCAAATGTTGTTATAACTTTTCTGATAATTGTATAATGTTGTTTTCTTGAGTCCCACAAGTAGGCCCATTGCAAGGAGATGATTCTCTCCCTTCCCATACTGGATGCACCCCCCACCAAAAAAAGCAAACAAGAAAGGCTTTGGCTGTATTACACTTTAAGCCAATTACTGCATTTCATTTATAGAATTATTTTGCTCTGACAAGGTGATCCAGTGACAGGTTTTGGTTTGAAGAACCCGGTTTATTCTGAACTATTATGTTCTGCTTCAGGCACATAAACATCACCTCCTCTATCAGTCTGGCAGAAGAATAACTGCTGAGGTGGCTGTGATAATACAGCTATTCCTATCATAAGCGTTATCAGGTTCACCAAGCTCCACATACCCCGGGATCAATAATAAAGTATTCTGCCAATTCAGGGCAAAGTAACAGGTCGGCTTCAAAACAGGAAGCGTTATCAGCGCAAACTTCCCTCCCCTCCCCCATAACGGTGGGTCTCCTAAAGCTAAAATTGGTACATTAGGATATGAAGGAGCACACGACCCTCTCCCTTTACTTTCCTACAATGCAGCAGTGTGGGGCCAATCACCAGACCCCAGAGTGGTCACATGGTTGGGGAAGAGGTTCCTTAGCATTGTGTAAGCTCCTACTGAGCGTTGGCTCAAGTCAATGATTTTGCAGGGGGGTTCCAATAGGTGTAGGGGGCAGTGGGAAAGATGGACGGTAAGCCCACATTCATACCTGCACGTTCCCTAAACACCTGCCATAGCGCACGTTTCCAAGTAAGACTGGCGCACTTTGACGGAAAAGCGCTTGCATTGCCGTTGATATCTAACGGCCCCCCAAACTCTGGAAGAAGCAGGTATTTGCTCCGCATTTGCAGGCATGCAAAAGCAAAAAGTGTGGAATGTGTGTCGCAAAATCTGCCTTTTTTTTGCCGCGTTTGTCATGCGATGGAAGTCAATGGGGAATAGCGTTAGAGAATCACCTGCGCACCGTACAGCGATTGAACCAAACAAAATAAAAAAATGTTGGCGCTCGAAATGATGACACAGATGGCGCAGTGTAACAATCCAAGTAACGATAGTAGTCACAAGCACTCACTTGTATTGATACGTCACATGCGTCAAGAAACCCTTCTTGACGCATGTGACGTATCAATAAAAGTGCTGTCCTTTTTGCACATTACAAGTGCTGGTGACTACCATCTTTACTTGAACTCAATGGGGATGCACAGCAAACGCGGCACACAAAAGCTCACGAGCATGTGTGGACGTCACGCGCTCACGGAACACGCAGCGGGCTAGATCTAATTTCCTTTCCCACCCTGCTCCAAAGCCAGCCCATTACTTTACCCTACATGTGCAAAATACAGGTCCTCTTTAAGGAGATTGTGTCTCTGAAACCGAACCTGGAAACAAAAACACCCAGAAAAATAAAAAGGACTTCACACTTACCTGTCCTTCCAACTTCGCAGCAAAGCCACCCGAAGCATCTGCAATTGGAAGTGTCCACCCAGCCAACTATTGAGGTTTCATCATCCAGAACCTACATCGCGGCGGTGACATAGGGCTGGCGGACAGAACCATAGCGTGTGGAGGACACACGCATCCGACAAAACCGGGAAGGGTGTCAGACATAAAGAACCTTCAGGCAGCTCTGATCTTGCAGAAAGCAAAGATGCCACCATTGGGCACCAGGTCAGTATGAAGTCTCCTCTTTTGTAGGGTGTTTATGTCTCCAATTTTTTTATTTCAATGAGAGAATCTCTGAAAGTTATTATAATTATATTTCTCTAAAGCACCGTGTCACTCACTGCATGCAAATGTAACCGAACCAAACTTCTGAACCGGTTTCATTTCACAAGTTACATCAATCCACGGATGAATGCTTCTATTCCGCCACAACAAGTGATCGGCGCTCCTCATACATGACACGGGCCCAAGTAAAGGGGAAACACAGAAAGCCGAGAAGAAAACACGCACACAGAAACAAGGCAGAGCCACACCCTGCCGACTCTCAGATGAGCTCATTAGCAGGCTCATGGTTACGTGACGCATTCCAGCTTTCCGGCCGCTCTGTTACTTTACATCGTTTCCAGGGCCCCAGTCCCACACATCATTAGAGCAAGAAAACAATACTACTGGAGACAGGTGCAATACACAGCAATTGCTTTATATGTAGAGAACATTCTAGAGAGTCATCTACAAGCGGAGCTTCATCTACACAAACATCTGTACATTTTAGCTATCTTAATGTAAGGAGCATTCTTCCCACTGACCACCAATGTAAGGAGCATTCTTCCCACTGACCTCCAATGTAAGGAGCATTCTTCCCACTGACCTCCAATGTAAGGAGCATTCTTCCCACTGACCTCCAATGTAAGGAGCATTCTTCTCACTGACCTCCAATGTAAGGAGCATTCTTCCCCCTGACCACCAATGTAAGGAGCATTCTTCCCACTGACCCCCAATGTAAGGAGCATTCTCCCCCCTGACCTCCAATGTAAGGAGCATTCATCCCACTGACCACCAATGTAAGGAGCATTCTTCTCAATGACCACCAATGTAAGGAGCATTCTTCCCACTGACCACAATGTTAAGGGGGCCCCCCCCCCCCCATGTTATGGAGAGCAGAAGGAGAGGTGCTCTGAAGTCCTAGGGAAGGAAGTGTGTTACTGGCAGGATTAAAAGGTTAAAATAATAAAACTAATGCAGCCACCACATCTAAAAATGCATATGTTTTTGTTCTTCGGTTTAAATGAACTTAAAAACTACATTAAAAATGCACAATAACCTCACAGTATAACATTTGATAGATTCGATATGAACCAGCTTTGAGCAGATGATGGCTATAAGTACTCCTGCATTACACGGAGGTCATCACATTGGTGTAGACTTTCTAAATACAAGCAGCACAGAATATATCTCACAACAAACCTCTCCATGCCAGCTGCAATCTGTGCGGATATTCTGTACAAAACATAATGACAGATCAGAACAGGCTGTTTTGGAAGCCTCCGAATATCAGAGCCCATTGGAAAAACAAGACCGCCGGGCAAGAAAAACCATCCAGTGTTTTTACACGTAAATGGCTGACCTTTTCGGCTTTTTTTGTTTTGTTTTTGTTAAAGCCG